GCCATCCGGCAGGGCTATTCCAACTACCATCCTGGGTCCAAAGTGCTGGGAGGCTCATAACCACAGCACCACAGTTTTCTTATCCATCTTCAAAACTACACAGTAGGGGCAATGAATAAGGAACAGACAGCTGGAAGTAGAGAACAGCAGTACTTGCATGCCAAATAATTGCAAAGTTAGTACAGAACAAGGAAGGTGAGGGAGCCATCTCAAGCTTTCCAGCTGTTCAAAAGAAGTTGGTTTTCCTTGTACCAATTTATATGGCTCATCACGTGTATTTCACAGAAGAAAAAGGAGCCTGAGAATAAGCAGAGGCAACAACACAACCTGCAGACCTTAATAAAGGGAACCTTTCAGAATTATGAAAAACATGAGAAATGGGGGACAGTAAATGAAATCTTTATGAATTTGCACAATTAGTGAAATAATTTCTCACCAAATTATTTCACTAATTTCTCAACAATCAATTATACATTGGATAAGGTATTGCCCTCCAGATTTTTTGGACTTGTGAGCACAGCTAACAGAGTTGGAAGATACGAGATGCAAGACAACATTTGGATGGCCACAAGTTGCCCATCTCATTGTGTTGAATAAGACCCTTTCCCCAAAAACCATCTCATTCCAACTCTTTATTCCATGTCATGACTTTTCATGCATAGATCTACAGCCATTTCACACTAGCAAATGCACCTCTTTCAAACTTAATGTCCTGCAAAGAAATTAAGAGTGTAATCAAGGTGCATCACACCAAAGCTAATTGCAAAGTTTTTGCCCTTTATGACTCTTAGAAGTATTTCTTCAGAATACTAACATTTACACATTTCTCACCTGAACAGTTCACTACGAAATCAAAACTGGACAAAAACAGATTCTACTTGATTTCATTATGATATTTAAATACTAAGAAGTGAGTAACTGTGGCCTTCCAGAAGCTGCTGGACTATCATTCCCCACCATCTCTCTCCATTTACTGCTAACTTGGACTGACTAGCATAAACAACAACAAAAAATCTGGAAGGGCACAACAGCACGACCTTGAATTAAATAAGTTTTTTAAAAAAGCAAGCCAGAAATAAACACGTAAAGCTACAAACAATACTTCTGGTAAGTCCAAATCATTCAGCTAATTTTGTACTATACTTTTGTGCTAGTTTACCAACCTTACCCAACATTAACCTACTTCCCATCTATTTTGTTCTATTGTCTCCTAAAGAGCACAGACTACGTAACATAAACACAGGAAAACACATGCAGGAGAACATTTCAGTTTCTTGCACTGTGATAAAAGAATGAACATTGGTGGGCAAGCCCGTACATGCCAGAGAGCTCAGAATCAGCTGGCCTCAACTCAGTACAGAGGGACTCCTCTCTAAACAATCTAACAACGCACTGCTTTCTAGACAACACATTTCCTCTGATCCCAAATAGCAGGTTTAGTCTCTGAGGTCCTGCCAGAGCTTTAACCATTTACACTGCCTGACCCACAAAACTTCTGCAGAAAGCTCACAATTATTCCTTTGCATGTAATTCATTTTCCAAAGAAGAAATAGCTTTAAAGTAATTTTCTTCTGGTTGTTATGTGTCCTCAAGTCCCAGCTGATTTACTGGAACCCCACTAGGGTTTTCAAAGTACATGAGATGTTCAAAGAGCAATTTATTATTACCCCTCCAAGTGGCCAGCCAGGCATTTCAAGCCAGTTTACATCCACTACATCACATTGGCTCTCAAAAAGTTTACAGCAAAGCACAATATTCTGCCATTTGCACTTAACATGGGAGCTACTAGAACAGCAGCATGCCATTCTGTTTTACTCTTGGGCTGGCTGCTCCTTTCTAGCTTTGTAACCCTGAAATGATGTGTAGGGTTTTCTTTCCCTGAAATCTAGAAACAGTCACTTTATGTTTAGCAGCAAGTTCCCTAGTAAAACATAATTTTGATAACAAAACCCAGTAAGAACAACTTTGGTCGATACTACATACTTCTAAAATTTATAACAAGAGTTTTCTAGCCAATGTCACAGTTCTGTAAAAAAAAATTCTCACAACTATTTGTACATGGTTTTCCGATGCTTCTAAGGAAAGGTCGGTCAATCTGCCATGAAGATAATTTAGGCTAGGCATAATTCAGCACAGGCCAAAGAGATCATCCAATTGCTTTACCATATCTTCAGTTTCCAACTCAACTTAGTTTTTGATGCTAAGACAATGATGCAGCAGCACAGGAAATATAATTCACCTCTAGCAGTGGTTACCAACCGTGGGTCCCCAGATATTCTTGGACTATAGATATTCTCCCAGAAATCCTAGCTAGCACAGTTAAAGGTGAAGGTGTCTGGGTTTTAGTCCAAGAACATCTGGGGATCCAAAGGCTGGGAACCACTGAGCAACATCCGGTGTAACATAGCAATCAAGGCACTGAATAGTGGCCTGAGAGGTCCAGATTCAAGTCCCCACTCAGCCATGAGCTCAGAGGGTGATGCTGGCTCACTCACATTCTTTTAGCTTGAGGTATCTCACAGGATCACTGGGAGGGTAAAACAAGGACAGGCGTGTAGGCAATCTTGGGCTCACAGCACTGGTTCACAACATGTCAAGATTTAGATATGATCCATCCATTCAACCCACATCAACTGTGGCAAATAAATTAATTCTAAAGATTACTTCCAACAACATTTTTAGAGACACAACCTCAGCTCAAAATACCTTATTCTTACAGAATACCTGATCTGATGATAAACTATTAGCCGTAATCCATTATTCCTGGGATAGGGCCAGGTCCTAAAACTCACTGCTGATTAGGCAGGAGAAAAGGGTCCTCACTTAACCATGCAAATTAAACCATACCCAGAAAGGATCCCTAGGGAACATTATGTAACAGTCTCCAGTGCAAAAAAAGGCACATACACAATGAGGTTCATGACACTGTGGTAGTACATTTGTTGCTGTTATATATTCATATAGTTTTCAAGACATTTAAGACAGTGGTCCCCAACCTTGGGCCTCCAGATGTTATTGGACTTCAACTCCCAGAAATCCTGGCCAGCAGAGGTGGTGTTGAAGGCTTCTGGGAGTTGCAGTCCAAGAACATCTGGAGGCCCAAGGTTGGGAACTACTGATTTAAGACATCCAAGTGGTTGTTTACCATTGTCTGCACAGCCAAGCAGGTGTCTGAACCCAGGTCTCCTGTGTTTTAGTCAAAAAAATTTATGGATTACCACCACCATGGTTCTCATTATTGTATGTAAGATAGAACTCTCTACATTTCACTGGTATATATAACACCCCACTTTCTTAGCTGTATATAATGCTGATATTGGTTGGAATAGAAGACTTCTGCTCATATGGCTGCTTTTTGTGTATAAGGGCATGGCCCTGCCTGCTGCTTGCATTCCAAAGAAATCAATGGAACTCAAATCACAATATTTTAAGCAGACCTTTTGTCAGACATACAAAAACACGTTAATTAGTTCAAATCACTGTCACAGTAACAGACTTATTTAGTTTACAATGGGCTATAAATTCACACAACTGAACTGGGAGGGGGGGAAGAGCAGGAAGCAGACACGCCCAAGGTGATACAAGCTTTGTCTGGGACAAGGAAAAATCACACAGGTATCAGAGATGGAAATCAAAAGGTTAGCTATAAAGCAAATCTGAAACTTAGACATACACATATGAGTCATTATAGGCCCGGCTTGTCTTGTTTACAGAAAAGCTAAAGCCCCTTCAGATCACTTGCTCAAATGAGAGCAGTTTTTTTTCTGAATGAAACTTGCAGATTAAGGTACAACAAAAGAACTAGGGGTCAAGTCACATGGTGACAAATTCCTCACAAGGCAGTTTCCATGTGGAAACTCCATGTACACCAGCATCCAGAAAATATGCTGGATTACAAATGCTGAGGATACTGTAAAATATAGTCTAACACATCTATATAGCTGATTATCAGGCTGAAGAAGGCTAGTATAAAAATTATATTTGAAAAACATGTACAGATATTTTTTTATCATTTATATATAAGGCAGGAATCCATGATTGGGCATGTAAGATATATCTCACGTAAACAACAATGCTTAGACATGGATAGGGTACAGGATCACAAGCCACAAGAAAAACACTTTGTTACCTCTTCATTCTGTGCTTAGCCTGTCTACACAAAACTTCCTCAGGCTTAGCCTTCTATATTTCACTCATTTAAAATGCATGATGGAAAACTTAGTCATGTGGGTGACTAAACATTACACAGCCATGAAATCCCAATATTTCTTTCCTTTACATAACAGTCTGAGGAGGAGGAGGAGGAAGTAGTATTCTTTGCCCATCTAACCAGTGAAAAGAACAACATCTTCAGCATCTCACCCCACCTCAGTGTATCTTACCCACCACGACCACTTCTAAAATCATCTACTTGTCAAGCAGGTTATTCTAGGAATTTTGATTTTTCTGCTCTCCAGACAGACAATAACCTTCCCAGCTCTTTATGCCCACTTTCACCCCACCCCTTTGCATCCACACCCTTTTACACAATTAATAACACTGGAGGTAACACAGTGCTGGTCTCCACATTTGTAACACACCTTAATGGATATATAATAAAGAAGGACACTAATTATTTTTTAATTTTAAACAGTTAGGTCCTTTGCAGTGAAGGCATAAACAAACCAAATTTCTCCATAAGCACAATCTCGCCAGAGAATGGGCAAGGCTAAATGAGTAATATGCCTGAGTGTTGATGGTGAGGGGAACACAATTTTAACAAGATTTTAATTTAGGAGTAAAGGCTATCTCAGTTTCTCAAAGCTTGCAAAAGGAAGTAATTTCCTTGAAAAAACAGAGCCCAGGGTGCTGACAGCTGCATCACAAAGACACAGATTTATTTCCATTAACTTTTGTTTGTAAAGCAGGTTGGCCTGTCACCACCACGGGAGTGCAATGGGAGAGAGATGTACAGTACATTTTTTTTATTTAAGCAAAAGAGAAAAATTCTGGACACAAACCTTATAAACTTGCCCATATGTGCCATTTCCAACCACCTCCACCAGCTCAAAAATCCCAGCCGGATCCTACACAATAAAGGTATGGGGGAAAAGGGAGGGGCAGAAGAAAGAGGAAAAGAAGGATTACATTTGTAAGAAAGCGTTACTGGGTCAGTGTCTCCCAAAAACACACACATACTGTCTCTGTCTGGGGAGGATTGTTCGGCCGTGCAGCTGTTGCGCCCTGTGTATTTTTTTTCCATGCACATGCCAATACATGCAAACAAAGGAGAGCAACAGAAGACTGAACTCATTCCTCTCCCCCCCACACACACACCCATCCCCCTTCCCATGGGTCGTATTCTTGAGGGAAGAACATGGGGAGCAGCAGCCAAGTTGGTCAGCAAAAGGGGCCCCCTTATTATGCTTCCCTGCAAACCCCACAACTGCTTCTCAGCACCCCCCAACTCTGCCCTCCACTACCACCCCTTCTCTTTCTCATACACACAAACACACCTCCCTTTCCTCTCCTTTCCTTTTCCCCTCCGCCCCAACCCAGCTCCGAACAACAAAAGCCACGCCAAGGGAGACGTCGCTTTGTGTGAATAGCGGGAGGAAGACGAGGCAGAGGCGGAGAGGCAACGAACGGGTCGTCCGCCAGCAGCAGCCTTCTCTTTCTCTCCACACACACACGCACACGCCGCCCCGCTTTGCCCCTCATCCAGCCGCCCGCCCCACAACGCTCCCGAGTCCCACTCACCCGTAAGGAGGAGAGGTCTATATCCCCCAGACTTTTTGCCGGAGAGTCGTTCGCCATTTTCCCCCCTCGGTTTTTTTCTCTTTTATTCCTTTACAGACAAAAAGGGAAGAGGAGCAGGAGGGGGGGGGGGAGACAAGCGCTACCGCGCCAGGGTGAAAAGATGACGCGCGCCCTCCCTTAAGCAAAATAAAATCTGCCTCTTTTTTTCCTCCTCCTCCTTCCCCCCCCCTTTTCCTTCTTTCCACCCCTTTCTCCCTCTTGCTTTTCTTCACTCCGGGATAAAACTCTTCTTCATTGGAGGGATGGAGAAGGAGGAGAGGGGAGGAGGGAGGGAGAGAGAGAGAGAGCAGGAGAGGGGAGACCTCTGCGCTGCTTTGCTTCCCGGTGAACACGGCGGCCGAGCAGTCCGACGAGGAGGGGTATTTATTTCTTGCATTAAAAAAAGAGAGAGAGAAATCGTCCCTTTTTGCATTAAAAAGAGAGAGAAATAGTCCCTTTTCAGTCGCCTCCGAGAGAGATTTGTGCCATCACGAAGAAAGAAGCCAAGAGCGATTCTTGTTTCTCCCCGCCTCACGACAACGGAGCCTCCCGGCCCCTCAACGCTTTCCAGGCGGGCGCAGCAGCCCGCAAGAGGCAGCCGGCAGACCCGGGGGAGCAGAAG